ATCATATTATCAAATGCAATTAACATGATTGGGAGTGATACATGAAATCAAGAACATGGCATAATATCTATGTAATTAATAAGATTAGAGCATTCCAATTAACAAGATAAAAGTAATATAAGAAATCAATGACAAGGCATAGTATCTATGCAACTAAACAAGGATGGAACATTCCATGAAACACGAAAAGAGTTATATTAAGAGTAAGGCATAATATCTATGCATTTAAACAAGGATAGAATCTTCCATACAACACGAAAAGAGTCTTAAATCTTCAAGGAATACAACACTTGAAATTTAAGGAGTTAAATCACGAATGAAGTATAAAATCTATGCAATGAGACAAGTTTGGAGCATTTCACATACACGACAAGTTTAAATCTTCAAAGAATAGCAACTTGAAATTTAAAGAGTGAAATCAACCAATGTGAAAACTCGGATATCGCCCGGATTAAAACCGTACTTTTGAGATCACTTTAGGGCAACTAACCCATGGGTACCTTTCCCCTAGTGCGCATTATAGTTTAGAGTGACAATCCCCCGTACTAGAACCAAGTCCTAGCCATGTTAATTCTTGATTGATATCTCAAGTTCCAAAATCAACAAGTTGTGCAAGTCAAGATTGTATCAAAATACAAGAAATGCATTAACCACATATCATACACAACCAAGATTTTGGAATACACAAGTCATGCCCTAAGTTCTTAACTATGATGGCATGTGAAATGTTAAGAAATCAATGTGTGCATTTATATAGACCACAACCAAGATAAATAGCACATGGAATCCATCAAAGCAAATATACCATAAGTATAAGATACATGATTCAATTGTATATTAAACAACACATGTGTGAATAAACCATTCCGAAACAAATGAGCATGGTCATTAAGAACATTAATGAAATCAAGATACAAGAAGTCTAGATACATGATATCAAGGCATGATTAACTCGAGGAAGACATAAAATGAAATTTAATCTACTTAAGGGATTAAATTATCAAGGTTATATGGCAAGTCCAAATATTTTATGAACATGTTATGTCAAGGCCAAGTTCAATGTCAAGTTTCAAGTTCATTTCATACACGACACAACCATGTGAGTCAAGTTCTATACAAGGGAAATAAATAAATGTAAGTTTCAAAACTTATCCGATTATGCTCAAAGTAATACACGTGAAGGAACTTATCATGAATACAAGGTTAGAAACTTAATTAAGTGCATAGAACCATTAAATGGATTTTAATTATTTCATTTAATTAAAATCTCTAGATTTTGAAAGTCATCCAAATGACCTCAATATAATATATGTTATACAACATGTCATAAATTGATTTAAGAACATGATACAAGTACATTTCAAGCAAGGTACGGCCACGAGCATTAAACTTTAATACTAGAAAAATAATAATTAAAAGGTTTCAAAACCTAATTAAATATTCTCGATTTAATATATGTGAAACTATATGATATGCATATCAAGAATTTCAAGTCGGAAATCCAACGGGATGAATAGTACACTTGGAGCAATTTAATTAATCTAATTAATTAAATATTACTAGATTTCAAAACTTCTCCAATTACTCTCAAATTAATCTACGTTCAAGAGCATGCTAAAGCCTAATATAATATACTATCACATATTGATTTAAAGCTAGATAAGGCCACATGATTTAATATTTTATTCAAAATAAATATTAAATAAAATCTTCATTACTTGTCCAAATAATCTAGGTTTAATATATGTCAATCTACATATCAAGGAGTAATATTCTATCATGCCACATGATTAAACAAAGCCATGGATAACCGGAAAAATTAAATCCTTCACAAGAAAAATAAATAATAAAATCTTTAGATTTTGAATCCAAGCATGTAATCAAGTTGTATAAGCATCACAAACATGTAGTATAGCAAGAATTTAAATTATAACACCCCCTACCTCAATTTGAGATGAAAATCCCAAATCCCCATCGGAAGAAAAGTGTTCCGAATCTACCGAAACCGAAGGGTTTTGTCGGGGATAACGCGATCTACATGAATCCGAAGGAAGCCCCATGAAAATCACAACTTGACCTCAAACCCAAACTCAAAATTTGGCCAAAAATGGATTCCAATAAGGGTGAAAGAAGCGCGTAGTCAACACGAACACAAAACGTAAAGGTACTTCAACTTTTAACAAAGGAATGATGTTCAAAAGAGGAGAGAGGTGGTGGCAGCCTCCCTTGGGCTGCCATGGGAGCTCTCGTCGTGCAAGGTGAGTAGGGAAAATGAAAAATAAAATATTTCACCCCCCTTTTAAAGAAATCTCAAAAAGTGCCTTGAACGGGCCCCGCCGGGTCCGGAAGAGTGGAATTTGAGCAAACGAGCTCAAAAGGCAAAACTTCATGAACAAAAGATTCAAAATGAGAAAATATGAACAATGGAAGAAACGGCGTCAAAAATTGAGTCCCGAGCAGAAAGTTATGCCCCGAACAAGTTCAGCTGCAACCGGGTCCAGAAACTCTGAAACTGGAGAAAAATGACCAGAAGGAATTTCCAAGAGTCCATGACTCGAAGAAATGTGAAAATGAATCCCGTACGAGGATCCAAGCTCCAGACGAGGCATTTTGCAATAACTTTCGTTAATTGCACAATGGTCCCTACAAAAAGGGTTAACTGCGAAACTGCCCCAGAATAAAAATATCTTCGAAAAGATATTTTCTTAGATGCCCCTGAAATAAAATATCTTCAAAAGATATTTATGAAAAATACCCCAAGAAATGAAAAAGATTCTGAAGAATTGTGCATCCATGTAAGGTACTACAACAACTCCAAATGACTTTATACTAATACAAATTATAGATCAAGTCATGACCTTCAAGAATAATATGTCCTACCTTAATTTCATGTAAGGTACTACAACCTATTAATTTAAAAATTAAGTATAAGACATATAAACAATTTATTGTAAGTTATAAAAACAATTAAAACACTTAAATTAAGAACCTAAATCACCCATACCTCACAAGAGGATTGTTCCTCTTGAATCCAAAGCAAACAAAGGAATTTTACAATTTCCTTCAAGGGTTATATAGAGGAAGGTGATGCAAGTGTTTTGTGTTGCAAGCTTTTAGGTCTAAGGTGAGTGGAAGGAGATCAAAACCAAGGTTTTAAGCCTAAGTTAATGGTTTCCTTTAATGGTGGCTAGGGTTCTAAGTGAGGAAGAAGAAGTTTAATGTGTAAAATGAAATAATTAAAATACTTTAGTGTATTCCTTCACTCACTTGGTTAATGGAAGTCAAACACACCTGGTCTTGCACCATCCCCTCACACACACACAAAAGATAGAGTTTAATTAGAAGCTTACACTTGTCATTAATCCAATGGTTCATTCTAGGCTTAATCTAAAGCCTACACTTGTCAACAATCCAAGCCAACAAGTGCACCAATGCTAGTCCAACAAGTGGGTGAATCTCCACTCTCTACATGTCATCATCCAAGGTTTCCAAGTGTTAACCAATGAGATGCTTACAAGTGAACCAATGAGAGCGCGACACTTGTCACACCTTTTCAGTAATTACAAAAATGTCTTTTTTGAAAATATCTACCAAAATAAATTACAAAAAGGTTCCTAAAAAGAAAAATAATTATTTTTCATAATTACAAAAAAACCTCAAAAACAAATAATGTTTTCTAAAGAAACTATGCATCCATGCCCTTTTTCGTAAAAATAAACAACTAGCATACTTTTCTAAAAAAGTAAAAATACACAAAGCATGTAATTTAAATATCATGGATGCATGCAAAATCGGAACCAAATCCGAGCACAAAAAGTGAGGTTACGCGAAGAAAATCATTCTCGGGAAAAAGACGAAAAGTGAATAGTATTAAAAAAATGAAAATGTAAAAATGACTCGGTCCTTAAAGGAAGTTGTCAATCCAAAGGAAAGAGTCTCAGAACCATTTTCGAGCACTCGAGACGATACTAAGTGATAAGTAACCGAACTCAGAAAAGAAAATTCAACGGAAAAAATTTATCCATAAAATTTCAAAAAAGAAAATGAAAGAAAATGATCAGGTCATTACAATCAGTGTGCACTGGTTTTCGAAGTTTCGAAAGATTTATTTTCTTCAATTTGCACTTTATTTTTGTTTTTTATTTTCTATTTTTATTTTTACTTTTCTTTTATACTTATTTTATTTTATTTTTATCTTTACTTGTCCATTGACAATGTCCTCCAATAGTGTCATTTTCGATCATTTTACAAAATTATATATTTTATAAAATGGTTCAGTAAGGGTAATTTAGTCAACTTAGGATTTAAATTTGTCAGAGGGACCTATTTGCACCAAATAAAAACTTTAGGGGTGTTTTTTGCACATTAGGAACATCCTCCAATAATATCATTTTCGATCATTTTACAAAATTAGTTATATTTATATATTTTATAAAATAGTTCAGTAAGGGTAATTTAGTTAACTTAAGGTTTAAATTTGTTAGAGGGACCTATTTATACCAAATTGAAATTTGAGGGATATTTTTTACATGTGTGGGATGTAATATTCATTATAAACATATTTTATAAGTGTTTTCTGCTCTTGACCCTCCCACACACAAACATGTATACCCACCGACCAATTATTAGTCAATTTACAAGCTAGCCCATATATAACGCCAGTCTGACATTTCTTTTTGGTTTTACATACTTTCTTACTAAGAAAGCGGCCAGGAAATTTACAAGCCTGGACTCAATTATTAGTCATTGGGATCCCATCCAGTCAATTATTAGTCAATTTCTCAGTAAGCAGCCAAGAAATTTACAAGCCCGACTTTCTCAACTACCAAACATAATTAAGCAAGAAAATAAGCAGGTGTTGGGCCACTTTGTCTCTCTATCATTGGAAGGAAGACTCAATTAAAGTATTTTCGGAATTTAAAAAGACTTGTAATACTTACATACACATACACATACACATACACATACACATACACATACACATCCACATGCATACATACTCCATGTTAGTATAACTAAGTAGGTACCAGACCACTTCTATAAATACTGGGGGTTCATCAGAAAGAGAGTAGTAGTGAGTCTACAATAAAACCAACGTATATATATATATATACACATTATATATCTCTCTTTCTCTCTAGTAACTTAAGTAATGGCACATGCCAACTCTTCTTTGGTGTTTAGAGTGAGAAGGCGTGAACCGGAGCTGGTTGCTCCGGCCAAGCCCACGCCTCACGAGATGAAACTGATGTCGGACATCGATGACCAAGAAGGTCTTCGGTTTCAGATTCCGGTCATACAATTTTATCGTCACCATCCATCATCATCATCACCATCATCCAGAGTCGACCCTGTGAAGGTGATCAGAGAGGCACTGTCACAGGCACTTGTGTTTTACTATCCCTTCGCGGGTCGTCTGAGGGAAGGTCCCGGACGGAAGCTGATTGTGGACTGTACCGGCGAGGGTGTGATGTTCATCGAGGCCGATGCCGACGTCAGGCTTGACCAGTTTGGTGACGCACTTCAACCTCCATTCCCCTGCTTGGAGGAGCTTCTATATGACGTTCCAGGCTCCGGAGGGGTCCTCGACTGCCCTTTGCTTCTCATTCAGGTCTTTTAATTACTTAATTACTTAATTATTTTATTATTATTTTTAATTTTAATTTTAATGTTTATTTTATTTTATTTATTTTTTTTCAAAAATGAGATCGAAAACTCACAGAGGGATCAAACTCTCAACCTCCCTCTTCCTACAAATAATGTCAATTAGCCCTCTCATATCAATTATTAATTAACAGCGAAAAAGGCATGGAAATCAACTCTATATATATATATATATATATATAGTTGATTTCCATCTTATTCTTGAATATCATTTTCCATTAATTGGGAGTCATTCGGGATCAGCTGTATTTTTTTTACTACAAGTCATGTAATTAAAATGCAATGCTTTTCTTTTTGTCCCTTTTTATTATTTTTATTATTTTTTTTAATGCTATAATTGAGAGCACTGAATAAGTTGTCTAAATTTGTTATTGAAAGAAAATTAATTTAAATTTTATATTAATTTTTTTTTTCAATTACCCAATGGACTATACATATATATTAACTTATCATCAACATTTCGAATAAATCTTTAATTATTAACAAAATTAGAGTAATTTAGTTATTTAATAGGTCTTTTAAAAATTTACTGACAGAATTAGAACAAAATGATAACATTGTAATGTTACTAGCTTTTTACAAATAAGATAAAATTTTTATGATTTAAGCCTTTTAAATTATTAACCAAAAAAAACCTTTAAAAGACATGTCCCGTGTGGTGGTAGCATGACAAACAATCATGACTACTTTATTTAAATTATTGATGGTTAAAATTTGTGTAGTCCAGCAAAAGGTAGGTGAGAGTGTGACAGGGACTCGCAAGAGTTGGGTGAATTCAAATACGAAATCTGAAATATTTTCGTGGTCTGGATAATTTAAGTACGATTTTTATTTATTTATTATCATTCTTGTTTTTTTTTTTTTATCATAAATGAATGAAATTGAAAGCATGTGGGTCCCACACTACTAGCGTGTGGTTCCAGGTAGACAGTGGGGGACACTCAAATCAACACTCGAATCTTTAACTTCCATTCATTTTCATTATCTCAAGAGTGGACCACCCAACAAACACCAACAACTAGTGGTGCTATCGGTTTGGTCAGGGTTCACATTTTAAAAAGTAGTAGTGCTATTTATTCCATTCACCAATCAATTTACTTTTCTCCTAGAGTCCACACCACACCCAACATGTATTTTAAATTATTTTTGGATTGATAAAACGTTCACACTTATGGAATCTGGGAGTTAGAACAAACTTATACTAGTGGGGCTATAATATTAATTATTTTTTATTTATTTTTGTTAATAAAATAATTTCGTAATTATATGAAATTAACAGGTAACTCGTCTGCTATGTGGAGGTTTCATTTTTGCCCTCCGCCTCAACCACACCATGAGTGACGCGGTGGGGCTAGTTCAGTTCATGGAGGCGGTGGGCGAGATGGCATGCGGAGCGAATGCCCCATCTGTGCAACCTGTGTGGCAGAGAGAGTTGTTGAATGCGAGGGAACCGCCACGAGTGACACGGACACACCACGAGTATGATGAGGTGGCGGACACTAAGGGAACCATAATTCCTTTGGACGACATGGCCCACCGCTCATTCTTCTTCGGCCCTACTGAGGTGTCTGCCATCCGTAGGTTCGTTCCGCCCCACCTCCACAAAAAATGTTCCACATTTGAGGTGTTGACCGCATGCCTATGGCTTTGTCGTACCATTGCCCTCCAGCCTGACCCGAACGAGGAGGTACGCATCCTCTGCATTGTTAATGCACGTGCCAAGTTCAATCCTCCCTTGCCTAAAGGGTTCTATGGCAACGCATTCGCATTCCCGGTAGCCCTTTCTACTGCAGGGAAGTTGTGCCAGAACCCATTGGGGTATGCATTGGAGTTGGTAATGAAGGCAAAAGCTGATGTGACGGAGGAGTACATGAGATCACTGGCAGACTTAATGGTGATCAAAGGGCGACCCCACTTCACGGTGGTGCGGACGTACCTTGTGTCGGACGTTACGCGTGCTGGATTCACAGAAGTGGACTTCGGGTGGGGGAAGCCTGCATATGGAGGGCCGGCTAAAGGTGGGGTAGGGGCTATCCCTGGTGTTGCCAGCTTCTACATACCTTTCAAGAACAAAAGTAGTGGTGAGGATGGGATTGTAGTTCCCATTTGCTTGCCTGCTCCTGCCATGGATAGGTTCGAGATGGAGCTTAAGAGCATGTTAAAGGATGATCATGACTCACAACTCACTGCACCCAACACTACCACTTCCACTTTTATTATGTCTGCACTATAAATCGCTTTTCAGACCCGCATCTTCTTTGCTAACTAGCTGGGAACTGCATGCAATAAGCCATAGTAATTTGGTATATATATATATATATATATTTCAGAATTGTGTATGGTTCGCTATGTTTTTGGTGTGGTGCGATAGCTTCTTCCAGTATTGTTTGTGTATGTGAATCATGAAATTATAATGGTAGGGTTTTTATTTTTATTTTTTAATGTTGGAAGATTAAACCAAATATTGGAAACAAGAGTGTATTGAAAAGATGAACCAACTGTTTTCATTTTTTTATTTTATTTTAACCAAGCAAACCAATACAACACATACAATCAAATTAACCGCCAGCATGAGCATCTGATCGAGCATCCAATTGAGCAAGAGAAATGATATGATCTGGAATATGCACGAGCTCCACATCACAATAAATATGACATATGGAGAGTTTTGCTACAGCATTGGCGTTGCCATGTTTTCGGACATGACTAACATGTGACGAGGAAAATCTCCTTAACCCATTCTTAATATCAAAGACAATCGCACAAATATCCACTAATATCATCATTTGATACAGCATCACAAACCACCTGAAATCTCCCTCGAACCACACCTTGTCAAACCCAGCATTAATAGCGCACTCCACCGAAAAACTCGTTTAACTTTGAAAAGTCAACTAATTACCACACCACACTCAAAAACATAAATTGATAAAGAGAAAAGACCATTAAATCGAGACTAAAATTGATTCAGTAGAAATTGTATATCTTTATTTGAGGTCTTGGCCTCTATCTATAAGTAATTTACAAATAATCAAGTCTCGCATTGCTTGTCTCTTAAGAATCTCAATCACATTACACTATTCTTTTAAGAATCTTAATCATATATATTATACTATCCTTTTGATAAGGGTTTACATGATTTGGTTTCCTTAGATCATAATCATTATTCTAATAAAACTGTTACTAAAAATGGGTTTAGTAGTACATTCGTAATTGGGCTTGGAGTCATTCTTAATGAGTCCAGCTCATTGTGCTTAGTTAACCCGGCTCAAGCTTCTTGTAGATGGTTAAATTAAAAGTTGAATAATATTAGTGTTTGTGGTGATCCCCTTATGCGCTGATATGCCAATCTTTTATTGGTGGGAAAGTATTTTCCCTCCACACTTTGCCCCCAATTCCTTCCTACATTGGGCAGCAATCCTTATTTTGAAGGGAATTAAAGCCCTAAATGAAGTAAGGGCTAAATGGACAATTCCAAATAATATACCGTATTATAATAACCTATACCATATTTATTATATAATATTTAAAGCTTTTACACAAACTGAAACCGTGTGTAATTCATTTCACCAAATTTTTTTGGGGACGTGGCCAATTCTCCTTCACTTATTCCAAAATGAAAGAATGAGCTACTATTTCAGTGGAGGTGATTTTCCACCTCAACTAAGCGGCCAAACATATTTCCATGTGTCACCCCTTTGCGTGTACTCAATAGTTTTAATTGGCTGATTCTTATGACGTCACGTTGAAGTACTTGTCATTTCTTCATTGGTTCACATCATTGCTAAAATTGCTGCCAAGTTTTGGTGCCAACAAATTGAAATAGTTAATAATACCTTATTATATTTATTTTAATTGATAAATGAATCTTTTATCTTTTCAAGTTATTTATAATAAAAGATTAATTTTGAAATAAAAGTGGCTACAACAAAAACGTTTATATATTTTAAGTACCCAAAGTATAACATAAGAAGTAGATGGTAGGGCGTGCAAGCACTCAAATTCCTTTGACCTTGTTTGTAACCCAGACAATAGAAAAAAAAAAAAGAGTCAATATATAAATATATATATATATATATATGTATGTATATTTTTGTTTTGTTTTCTTCTTGCGGCAGTTGGATAAAAAAAACCCAACTTTAGTTTATAATTTAATGGCCCACCCCAATTTCCTTTTATTTATTTCGCCCAATTTCCTTTTAGAACCCATGAGCCCCCCTGTTGGCGCAGTTTTGAGTTAATGCAGCAAAAGGCCACTCGGTCACTGTTTCGAATTTTTGTTTTTTGTTTAAGTCAATTGTTGAAGCCGATTAGTGGCCCAACCCAATTTCTTTTATTTTTACCTTAGACCAGTTAATTAATTAATTAATTTTATTTTTATTATTATTTTTTTTTATTATTATTATTTTTTAACTTATTCCTTAAACAGCTCTAAATTGAAGGCCCTAGGTGACTGTCTGGGCCGCTAGGGCAGGGCCAGCCCAAGCCTTGTGCCTAGTATATACTAGGGGTGTTCAAAAAATTCGGTAAATCGAAAAATCGGACCGGCCTGTACTGAATTTAGCCCTTTGGGCTAGTTGTATAGCAGTTTAGTCCAGTCCTGGGCCCAAAATTACGGAACCATAATTTTTCAGTCCAGTCCTGGTTTAGGGTTGTGCTAGACCGGACCAGCCCAGATCGAACCGTTACTATGTTATATATATATATATATATTATATCCTAAACCTAAATCAAGTAAAGTTCTCACGTGCCCCTTTTCTTTCTTTTGTCCTTTAAATTCCTTAAATTTCTTTTAAAAAAAGTCAAATTTCCCTTGTCAAATATATTTCAATTTTCTTTTCTTTCAAATATATCTTAATTTTCTTTCCTTTTTTTCTTCTTAAATTTTTTTTTTTTTTTTTTTTTTTTTTTTTTTTTTTTTTTTTTTTGCGTGTTATATCAATGTTAGTTGAAATTTTATTTTATTTTAAAAAACTTTGCCCCCTCTAAATTAAAAAATAAAAAAGAAATCAATTTAAACCGACAAACCGAACCGACCCCAACCGGTTTTTCGCGGTTTAATTTGGTTTAGTTCCATAGATATTATAGTTCGGTCTGGTTTTAAAAATAGTGGAACTGTTATAAATGATTTGGTTCCAAAATACTCCTAATCTGGTCCAAACTGGACCGTGTGCACCCCTAGTATATACGCCTCTATCACATATGCCGCACAAAGTAAAAAAGGAAAAAAAATAAGAGTACTTATATAAAATAGAGTAATGACGGAATAAGGTGAATTCAAAGTATATTAATAATGGATTAAAGTAGAAAGAATGGATTGAGCTTAACGAGGCTTGCAGTCCATTTTAACTTAATTTACTTTATTCTTTATAGGCCGGATTTTGGAATCCGAGTGTGACAACATGGTATGGTATCCAACCTTGACTTAGCAGGCAGTAGGGATAGCAATTTGATTCGCCCCCACGATTACCCCCCCCCCCCCCCGGCCCCGTCCCATTTTTGGCAATTTTGGGGGACCGTTTAGTTTATTTGAGCGGGGATGGTTTAATGTAACAAAAACCCGCGCGGATTTGGTGCGGGGGCGGGGGGAGGTCGCCCTACCCCGTCCCATTTAGATAGACAAATTACTCAAGTACCCTTATTCATTAGTATATATATTTCCCAGTATAAATATTAAGTACCTTATATAACAATATTAAAGTAATAAGTGAATTTGATTAGAAGGAAAGTTGTAATGGTGAATAACTGAAGATGAGGAAAAAAACAAAAAAAAAAAAAAAAAAAAAAAACTATTTCAACAATAGATAAATTGTGGTCTTAAATGGGGTGGGTGCGTACCCGTGGGGGTAAAAATATTAAACGGTTGCGGGAATGGGGTGGAAAGTCTCTTCGTTTTTACGGTCCTGGGCAGGGCGGGGGCGAGGTTTTTAAACGGTTGCAGGGGTGGGGGAGGGTACACCTGCCCAAACCTGCCCTTGTTGCCACCCCTATCTAGAAGTGTGGCCAACAGGGATGTTAGGCCCCAAGAGAGGTAATTGCGGCAACCTTGTGGCGCGGGTGCAAGAAACACTAGCAGGCTACCCCACGAGACAAACTATAGGTGCACAGTTCCATATTGCCTTGCTGTGGAAAGGGGAAGTGTTATAAATGTAGGATTTGTACACTCCAATTGGTATGAGGTCTTTTGGATTTAAACCTAATAATAAAACCATACAGGGTCGGGCTAAAAGTGGACAATATCATATGAATGGGGAAAAGAGGGGAGTATCTCCTTCCAAGGGGTGACAACCCCTCCCTCTCTCCTACTTTTTGTGCTCCAAAATTAATCAAACATTTAAGATGACATATTTTTCCCTTTTGTGAGGGCTGGAAATTCTATACACAGTGGTGAATTGAAAATTTTGCCCCTAGATGTGGAATTTTGGTTAAAGGGGCTCGGTGTGACCACCCTGGTTTTTCAAGTCAGAGTGTCCTGTGATGAACTGAAGTTTGATCCGATAACGGATCTCGAATGCGGAAGTGAAACACAAAACCAAGTCTCTGAAGATATAACCGAGCACACCATTAGATAGATAACAAAAAATTAACAAAGTTTAACTCAAAAATCGCCTGATTCGGAGTACGGACCAAGGAGAAAAGTCAAAACAAAATTTTGACGTCATCGCGGCCGTGAATAATATTTTGACAATAGTGAATAGTGTTTTGACAGCTATGAAAAGTGCTGGCCAGAAAATGCTGAAAACGTGTGCCTTTTTGAGGCACTAAACGACATTTTTTGAAAAAACACGAAGAAGAAATCCCCCTTAAAATAATTTTTCCAAGCTAACCGTGTCGAAAGAAAATTTTAATTTGCTATGTGAAATGCCCAGAATACCCTTAGATCAGTTTTGGTAAAAAACATAAAAAAAAAAAAAACAACTTTACACCAAGTGTTCATTTGACCTAATATGTTATTATGTGCTAAAACGATTATGCACGCAAATGTATTTAGTGATTTTAAGCGCGCGGGAATGGTCCGTGGGCCTCATACAAGCCCGATGCAAAATATGACCTATCCGAACCTCAAAAATGCCTAAAAAGGAACTTTTAAAAGAAAAATGAAACTTAAAATTTCAAAATAGTTTCAAATGATCGTTTGACCCTTGGCCACACTTCATGCATGTGACATTTTATATTAAAAAACTAAATATACAAGTTTTGACATTTTAAACCAAAAATAACATTTCATACTAACATTTGCATGAATTAAATAATTCAAGTCTACAAAAACATCCAAGGGATATTGTGCATCTTGAAACCACGTCTTCTTGCCTGAAACTGGTCACATTCAGTGAGGGGTGAGTAACCTGTATTACTCATAGGAAATGAGCATGCATAGACCTAACTTTTTACAAGTTTATCACATTAATGTGAAACAATTCAAAAGGGTCATGCCACCTAAC